GCGAGCCGTCCGACGGAGCAAAACAGTGGCACTGACTGACCGTGGCGCGCACGGAGTATGAGAATGGGGGTTAACTTTTTGTTGCTGTGGTATTGCACAGGTATCAATATTAGTGGGTTTTTACAGTATCATATAAAAAGTTTAAGTCTGGTATCGTGCAAACCCTCAGATACTCTGAGCCCTCCTGTGTGCCTTTTTTCACATCTACGAATATAAACTAATAAGTATATTGTTTGAACCTTAAAGAGCCCATATTATGCCCTTTTTGGGGTTCGTATATTTAATCCATACCTACTTTTGTACGTTCACAATAGCTAAAGTTCTACAAAAGTGTCTGTTTTCATGTACTGCTCCTCCTTGCTCCCTCTACGCTCTGAGTCCATCAGCTACACTCTGTTGAGCCCACACTGTTAGACCCATGTGGGCCAAGTCTGCTCTGATTGGTCTGCTGATCCGCTCTGTCGTTATTGGTCAGTTGCTCAGCACAGTTCTTGGAAATGTCCCGCCTCTTTTACCATATTGGGAATGCAGCCACTGGCTCTGTCCGAGGGGAGCATAACATTAGCACCTTAGCACTACTGTGCTACCGCAGGCTACAGCATATCGTGGGCGTGCTACAGAAGTTAACGGGCGAGCAACATGAGCTGCAGGGCTTGCCACAACGAGCCAATGGGCTTAGATCAGTGATCTCACACTGACAATGACGTCGGACTGACAAATTTTTATCGAGGGGGGCTAGAACTGAGCGTTACGTGAAGCTAATGCTACAGCTAACAGGAGGACGTAGGAGAAGCTGCGTTTCCGCGGACTTTCAATTTTTGCACGTAGATGTGCCTAAACATGCACAGGACACGTGGAAAACACACTAAAGGGCATATAAAACCAGAAAAAGCATAATATGGGACCTTTAAAGAGCTGTACCTGTTTCTCATTTTTGTCAGCGTGCTGCTTACAAAATATTTCATTACAGAATGTAGAGCTCATTTTATTCTGCATGTTTCCAAGATGTCCCATAACTGAGGTAAAAGCTGCTCTAAAGTGAACTTTAAGGAAAGCATGGAAACGTGGGGAGAACTGAAAATAAACTCCAGGAAGGGACCCTGTGGATGTTGAGAAAATGTTTGGTTAACATAGAGAGGGTATGCCCCGCTTGCACTCTCCAGTGGTTGAGTGGGCTTAACACCCCCCCAAAAGATGAAGTCAATGACTAGAGATGGGTTCAGAAAACCGGTACGTGATTGGTCAGTACTGAGAGTACTGATAAGCTCATGGACAAACATTAGACCCTCTTTTTTAATGCAGGGCATTCAATAAGCCCTGGCTGTCAGCTGTACAGCAGACTAGTCACTTTATTACTGTACAGCCTGCTTCTTTTTCTGTTGCTGAGTCTATTCATCGACGTTGTTGACAAAAATCAATGACGAAATTAGTCAAGGACAAAAGTAATTGTCGATCATTAGTTTGGCACATCATAGTCATGTTTTAATGCTGTACACGGACATAACATCTTTTTCTAGAGCTGAGTGGCTGCTCTCACACGCACACACACTCACTTTCAGTCCCTCTCCATCACTCGCTCTATCACCCAATTTATCCCTCCTATAAGAAAATTATCGCCTGTGAGATTTATCAAGCAGACCTTGCTTGTGTGTCGATAATGTGTATTTGAAGAGAAGTCACCCTGGACGTCTGTCTTTGAAAAATCATCTGAGATTCATCTTGACAAAATAAAGTTCAGCCCCGCAGTGTTTTTTTATCTTATTTATAATTTCAGTCCTTCAACTTGAAACCTTTCCTCGAGAATGCTTTATCTTTTTCTCTCCCCCTCATATACTTCTCTTTCCAGAGTAAACCCTGACCCTGTTATTACAGTTATAGGGATTAAAACAAAATTACCAGTCCTGCATTGACTGAATGCACTGACACTGAATACTGCTGGCACTGAATATTTTTAATGGCATATTTTGTGGAAGATAAATAAGATGCAGCAGATTCTGTCAATGGTTATCGTAAGACCATCCACTGAATTTAATTGAATTGAGACATCTGTGGTTAAGAATTACCACTCCAGCTTGTCAAAAGAAAGAAAAATAGGACATCTGAATGTGGATGGTGTAGAAATTGATACTACTGCAAATGAGCACCATCTGCGTATAGATCTTTAAAATGTGTTGTTGCAACTGCATGAATGTCTTTATGCCTGACTTTGTTTAATCAGCTACATAGAATAAATCAAAGTAGACAGCGTGACAACTGCATCAGAACAAACATCAGCTTCCCTAGCCTCCCTGATCATGTCGCTTAATGCGAGTCATTCCTTATGAACTGAAATGGCCGACATTCAGCTCATGCCTCCATCCCCATAAGCCAGTCTCACGTGTCACCAGTGTTTGCAAACAGCGCAGAAAAGTCAATACATCCAGAGATTGATGCAATGACGGGTCAAATATGGCAGAGGACACATCACGCTATGACCGGCGGGCAAATGTGACTCACAGACTGAAATAATTGGCTACGTTATGAGAGCCAACAAAGAGACCAGTGTGGTCGGACTTAATGCAAGCAGTAACCATTTAAAATATCAATAAGATTAGAGGGTTTACGTGACTGTCGTGGCTGGCGCTGAAGTGCAACCAGTCCAAACTAATTACTTAAACTAAGAGAAATTGATTCAAGCTATAGCTTTTTGTCAGATTCATTCAGCCTGGGTCCCAACAGAATCTGGTATAGAACTTTACTCTCTGTTATTTTCCACTACAGATGTAACATAGATGTTGAGCAGCAACACCGGTGGTCCAGGCTAGGAAATGCAGATGGTCCTCTCTCTAGGCATCCATTTTTTAATCCTTCAGACATTAAATCGGCCTCTGCAAAGGTCTATCTACTTTTTGAGTGTGCTGGAAAGTGAGGTTCCAGGTTTTTGAAACACGAGTGAGCAGTGCACAGGGAATGCCACACTCATAACCTACTTCAAGAGGCTCCATCAGCGAGAGAGGTAGACTGGTATATACATGGCTTGTAAAGAAAACAGGTAGAGAGAATAAGAGAAGTGGGTCATTCTCTACAGTCATGCTGTACATCAGGGCTGTGTGCACCAGCAGTGATGAATTGTGTCCAGCAGGGAGGTGGTGACATGACACTCTCTTTCTGTGATTACAACTTGACTTTTCTACATCCTCTAATGAAAAAAAATACTGCAACAAGAAATTGTGCTCCGTAGGGCTCTGTGCATGTATTTCTAACTGACCATCGTACAAGTAAAAGTCTACACAAAGATGATAAGAACCTCCTTGATAACCCAAAGAAATTACCCTGCTTTTAAATAAGGATAACGTGTTATGGAAATAAGTTGTAATCTAAAAAACTTTGTTCACATTGAGTTACTGAAACTTACAGAAAATCTGAGTTATGGTGTTAATAATCATATCTTTATTTTTTAAAATCTGCTTGCCAAAGAGCAAACAACAATAGAAGTCTTTATTTTAATTAGCAGGACAAACATACAGGCGAACACAGAAATAAAGGAAATCTGTCTTCTAGAGCCAAAGAGCTGTTTCATGGTCCATTTACTTGCAAGGATAAAAAGCAAGCATCTTGGAGGCACGTGCCCTGCATGTTCTCTAACCTGTGAAACAGATGGATGTTTTACAAAAAGGGAAGCTAAGATGAGAAATCCTGAAACATTCAAAAGAAATGTAATACTGAGAATGGCTAATTGTCATGTCCAATATATTTGTTAAATAATACATTTTATACTCCTGCTATTTTTGATAAAAATACTTTGAGAAAACTGAGACTAATGTAAATCCAAAGGATAGACCATGTTAAAAGACAATATGCTATTTGAACTATTTTACAAGCTCTACATCGTTGTTGCACCAAAACCAGAGCAAAACAAATACATTTCAGCATACAGATCCAGAATGTGGTGGCAGGGAACATCTTTCATTGTAGAGGGACATTTGGTTAATGGTAAATGGACTTGAGCTTGTATATTGTTTTCTAGTCTTCTGACTACTCAAAGTGCCTTTACACCGCAGGTCACCTCGGTCATGTAGCTGCAGAGATAGAACCTCTGACCTGCCAATTGAGAGATGACCAAGTCTACCACTAAGCCACAGCTGCCAGATTGTGATGAGGTGGGAAAATCCCCCCAACATGGTCTTTCCATGGCATCTCCTCTGAGCTGGATGGGCCAAATCAACTCCATAAGGCGATGTTAGTCATTTTTTTAAAGTTAAACTTCTACCCTGTCTTATTTCATTGTAAACCTGTTCTTTCCAATCATTTAAACTTGAGAGAACAGTGGTTCATCAAATTGTCACACCTTCCAGATGTTGAAAGTCCCTTATCTTGAACCTGTAGGTGAGCCAAAACACCCTGCAAAAGAGTTAATAACTGCCTCAGTTATTGTGGAAAAAAAGGTCTCCAAAGTACTTCTATAACCAAGTCTTCTATAGTATTCAAGCAGTGAGAGTTTGACACTATGTGCAAAGTGGCTTCAGCCAGACATTCCCAGTTCAAATGTGTTTGGAAGGCACTGGGTCTTAAAAAGTCATCAACCTTTAAATGGTCAGTCAACCCCACAGTCCATGACATGAACAGAAGTTGCCACTTGGAAGACCATTCCAACCCTATCAGCCCCATGGTTTCTCTGTTATCTATTTGAGCCTTAAAGTAACAGTGCAATACTATGCCCAGGGTTAGACCCATCCATCGACCCATAAAGGCTGGATACCCCAAACAACTGCCCTGTGAGAACATAAACACGCTTTTTCCACTGACAAGCTGGGAGGCTGTAAACATCTCATCTGTGGTACCTCAGTATCTGTATTTAAGTATTCAAGTGAAGCGCTTACAAAGACATCAGCAAATATTGTTTTGTCGATTTGTATAAGCTGCAGTGCTTTTTTTGCTAAATAAAAAAAAATATATATATTATGCAGGAGATGCCTGAGCTGCAGTAACTAAACAACACTGCTGTAAAAGGGCGAGGTTACCTGGTTTTGCGTTCTTGCAGCAGGCTTGTCCTGGTGGTTGGCGAGGATAAGGAAAGGCAGTGTGCAAAGCTGGGGGTGCTGAAGGGCCGAGTGGAGCTCGTTGCGGGCAGCCTCGAGGTCCTCATCTGACGAGGCACTGTCCAATACGAAGACCACACCCTGTGACCCCTGGTAGTAACGACTCCAGTATTTTTTGATATTGTCTGCTCCTGTCAACAGATGTCATCACAAATGTGAACTTCAAGGAGTGTTTATTTCAAAGAAGCTTTTACTGTTGTTGCAATCATGCAAAAAACATTAATGAAAGAAATGCTAACACTTTCCTGAAATTGAGTATTGTTCATTGTCAGAAATAAACATTTTAAGTAACTTTATGAAATGACTTTAATACAAAAGAAAGTTCAGTGAAATAGTTGTTTTGAAAGTAATCTGAATTTAGACCCCCCCAAAAAAGATAAAGAACCCTTCAGATAGAGAAGTAAGAAACATTGTAACAGAAAAATCATCAAGACATGGCATAGAAAAAAACAACTAATACTTTATAATACCCTTGTATTAGACCTAATCTCATGTATGCATTGACATTTATTTATAAGGGAATCTCTTGTTGTCCGGTAGATTTTTTTGTAACAAGAGCAGCAGATAGTTTCTTGGACAAAGGTTTTTTTTAAATAATAATTTACAAATAATTACTGCAATGTTGTTTTCAATGGTGTTCAGTCACTTTAAGAACAGAAATCAATGACGCACATTTAAACCTTCAAACATCAACAGTATTTGGTTTGTCTCAAGTTTCTCAACAGTGTTCTACCCATTGTTAAAACAAAGGAATGAACTTCAAACTTCTTAAAGTACACACATATTCATTGGATTATCTGATTGGAGTCTGGGCTAATTTTCAAGGCTACACTGACATTAAGTTCACAGCGAAACACACATGGTTCCAGTTTGTGTGCTAATCTGGAACACAAACGTCTGCTCACAACGGTTAAATTCAAGGAACGTTATTAGTGGAAGTCATTTGAGGAAGAGACTGACATACTCACACAATGTGAGTCAGTCTGCTCACTTTTCCCACCAATTTCTTTTGCTTGTACTACCAGCCTGTCCTGTGCTTGTTGAAAGGGTTAAGGTTTTGAATAAGAAATACAATTTTTAATTGAGAAATTTAAACCTAAAAAACATCCTGTTCTTCTATTTTCCAAAATAATTCCTGTTCACTATCTTTAACTAAAGGGTGCTTCATCAGGGTATGTTCGAAATTCATCAGCTCATAGGATTAGATAGACTCCAAACTAAATCTTAACCACTTCATTGACTGCCCTGTAACCTTATCAATATCTCACCTGAAGGTAGACATATGATTAGAAGAGCTTAGTGGGACCTTAATCTTAGAAACCCATGCTCCTGCCAAATAACAAACCTGTCATCAATTTTGGGTCCTGTCAACCCGCTGGAAACCCACACTATTTTGGATTTGGAAATGCTTAACCTCTTCAAAGCACATCTAAAACACCTCAATCTTGACCTAAAAGTGCAAAAACTTGGTCTGCAAGCATTTATGTCAAATTGTCATCATATTAGTTATTTGTACAATATAAAATGACTGCCTGATGACAGCTTCTATTACTCTCTACATTGTGTAGAAAGAAATAATTCATACCAAATAACATGATATGCTAGTCATATCCTCTGTGTTGCTCATGCTCAATAAGCATTTTGACATCCTGCCTTGGAATAATTGAAATCCAATGTAACTGCCTGAACACAACTTGACCACAGATGTTGATGTCCCTAACAGAGGAAACAACAAAATGCAAGCCAACAGGGGAAGGGTTGATTTAAGGTGGAGTGTCAAAGCAGAGGCAGTGTCAGTTTTTTTGCTCATCATAGTTATGCATTTGTGTACTCTGACCTTTTTACGACAACCTGAAAGTTCCTTTCAAAATAAACAACTCAATTTGCTTTTGTAATTTCAGATTTACATCTTTTAAAATACTTGTTTTTACCTTCTTCACTTAAACTTGTCCTTGACTCAGATGAACACTGTCCTTTTCAAAACATGTTTTTCATGATGTTGTCCTGTTCTACATGCTCACCAAACTTATTAGCGTCAAACAGAAACACTTACACATCTTATCACATTGCATACGCAGGTCCACTTGTTTTTAAAAGGTTGCACCAAGTGTGGTTAAAATTATCCTCCATCTGCTGAGGATTGCAAAGGAACTGTTGTTTTGTTACATTTGCTCATATTAAGGTAACTGCCAAACAGTGATGAAATGTGAAGCTGGCAAATGTTTTTAAATTATGAAGTGCTCTCAGTGACATTTGCCTCCCTTCCCTCACGTTCTCCCCTCCCTTCCTTCTCTCCTTCTCTCCTTCTCTCCTCCTCCTCCTCCTCCTCCTCCTCACACCTCTCAGTGGAGTGGAAAGCTATCAGACAAAGTGGCACTTGAGAGATTGACTAGGAAGTTTCTCTCATCTTTGTCTGGAAATGGTGGAATGTCCCTCTTGTTTCATTGGGTCTCGTTGGCAACTCCTGCCACCTATTGGTCTGATGGGAGGATTTCCAAACATGACATCATGATTATTGGGGGAGGCTGGCAGCCCTGCTGTTTAATAAATCAAATACTCCATGAGACAGACCTTGTACCGTTCCATGTTTTCTCCATTGCTGTCTAGTGTCCTGCACATTAGAACATTCGTGCAATGCAACCATATGTGTGTGTGTGTGTGTGTGTGTGTATATATATATATATATATATATATATATATATAAATATAAAAAAGCACTAAAGTTGTCTTCGCAGCATGACAAATTCACAAAGCCTTCCGTTAAAATGGACACTGTGTCTCTTACTGTCTGTGCAGTACTGACTCATTAGTTGGAAGACTTTTTGCCTCATTTATTCACTGTCTAAGTTTTGACTGTTTGATTGATTTAGTTGATGGCTTTTACAAAGACTATGAACTAAACAGATCATGATCTAAGAAGAGCTGGGCACATGTCCGTATTAAACATTAATTATCTGTGTTATTTTTTGTAACAGTTTTTTGATGCAGACATTAATTTGAAAAAATATCGGAACATTTAATGTGCTCTAAATTTGGTTTCCATTAATGTTATTTTCATTACTTTAATTAACTTTCAGCAACTCAAGTCAGCTGACCTCTACTCATGCTCTTATTGGCTATAGTAGCCTAGAGCAGTGAATGGAAGGTCTCAATTGGTCAAATGAGATGTCAGTCAAAAGTTCAGAGTTCATGAATTAGTACAGAGAAACAGTTAAACAGCAATGGACATTTTGAATCTTTATGGATGTAATGTGTTTGGATTAAGTCTTTTTACTGGATTTGGATCGTGGGGAACCTTGCCGATGCAGTAGGACTGTTTTTGTTGTAAAATTATGACCGCAAGAGGACAGTAGCCTCAACCTTTGGGGGTAAGAAAAATTAATCAGAGAGACTTTTGTTTGTCAGTGGTCTAAACAGGTGTGTAGATATTGGCTGCTGTGTTGAATGGATCATGCTGGTTTACATGGTCACACAAGAATCGTAGCTTTCTAGCGATGTTTGACATGAGTGATATACACAGAACAGCAGTTGTTTCAATGACGATGATATTGAGAAAACATTCTTAATGCCCCATGTGTTTCAGTTAAATATTTATGGGATTAACTGATATCAAAGTTAATGTCATGTTAACAGATTAACGGTTAACAGAGTTAACAGATGAACCAAGCCCACCTCTGTCTCTAAGTCTAGGGTAACATAAAAAGATCACATACTGAGTGATTAAGAAAGATTAGTAACATATCCATGGTCCCTTTACATCTCAAGTCTACAGATATGATTTACATTTTTCAGTTCACTGGTCACTTGGACTTCATACGTTCAGCTGTTTTCTTTGCAGGAAAGCGTGACAACAACATATTCCAATAAAGACACAATACCTTAAACAAATACATTTGTGGCATTAAATTTTACCTTCTTGTTTTACTGTTGGAAATAGAGCCATGCTTTCCAAGATGGATTGTTTGATGCAGAATGGTTCATCTGTGATGTTTATGTTGGTTTATATTTATGTTTCTTAATTAACCTAAACTCAAAAACAACTCAAGAAGTTATCCTAAAGTGAGACACTCTTTTACTCACTTTTCATACCAAATAGAACCTCAAGAAATAAACACAAAAAAAGAAAACGCATGTAAAGGGAAAGGTTGTTTGGTGTGACTTTAACACTGCAGACCATATTCTTTCTTTTAGCTTTAAATCTGTTTGTTCATCAATACTCTGACGACATTTCAGACGATATTACAATGTGCAGACAAAACTAGTTTTCAGGTCTGTGATGTCAGACAGTAACCTTCTCTCAGATCAAATAGTTCAAAAACTGATCTGAGGAAATCAGTCTCCTGGTCCACCAGTCTTTCTCAACCTCATAGAACAAAAGCAACTTTTTTTGAATCCCCTTAGAACAAAAGGAAGAGCGTCTGAAACAAGCAACGTAATGACTTATTCAATGTACTGCATGCAATATCCACATGTTAAACATGTTTACATGGTCTGAGGTTGGGGAGACATGAATCTTAATGTATGTGCTAGGCTTCATATATGTGATGATTCATTTTGTATGCACAGCCAACCGCAGCAGGCATATTACAAACAAGTATTACCACTGGATAGCTATAGATATAACTCTTCGGTACATACTAATGTATTACAAATGTTTTTGTAATAATTATAATATAGAACTTTAATAGAAAAAAAACAGTTATTGTGTTGTCAGAAAAGGAAAACTTTTCAAATGGGTCACATTGAGCCTCTTAGTGTAGTTACTTCAGCTGAAATGGGTTAAGGTTTTTTAAAATAATTTTAACATGTCTTGTTTTCTGACTTCTCATTGACAAATCAATTGGTCAGTGAATCCAAATAATAGTCATCATAAATGTGTTATTTATACATTATAAAATGCTTGCCTTTCCTTAAATTATTGAACATTCAAATTCAAAGTTCATTGTGCATCTAATTTACTATCCAGTGTGGAGAGAAAACCGCAGTATGTTCATCTCACAAAGACTTAACAATGACACTGTGCATAAATGCATCATGACATAGAGTCTAATGGGAGAGAAGTCAGCCGTGAAGCTGGGTGGGATATTGGCTGTGTCTTTGATTAGCAGTTTCTAGGCGGAGTTTGGTTTTG